TCCACTGTTCCTTGCAGGATGTATAGGGCACAGATTTTTGGATTGTCATAGTAGCCCTAGAGAAAGCAAAGAAGTAAGTCAGTGCTGCAGCTTCGAGGCAAGAAATATTCTCCCTACCTACCATCACCTCTCCTCCTCCAGCACACAGCTGCATCACAGCACTGGGGAAAAAGATCAGGGCTCTGCCCATAGAAGCTTATTACCTTTACAAACTCAATGTGGAGCTTCCCCGTGAACGTGGAAACCTCTCCCTGGACACTCAGTTTCCCCTTTTTGATACTCATGGGAATGATCTCATCATGAGCTGTGCTGTGTCCAACTCTGTCAAAAATGTCCAAGTCCTTCACCACCACATGGCCATTCAAGCGAACATCAAATACCTTCAGGGTGGAAGAAACATCAGAGTGTCAGAACGGATTCAGGCACATGACAGTTGAAAGGCGAACAGAACAGGAAAGGTCTCTGCACCCAAGACCAGAAAGCATCGCAGCGTGCACTGTCCCACCACACATGCTCCACTCCCTTGGGAAGGACTCAGAGCCCAAAAGCATCCAGGTAAAGACACTGAAGCATTAACATTGCTTTCAAACACCCTGAAACCTGCCTCCTTCTTTTAAAACAACCCCTACATCTGCTGTTCAGAACTGGAGACAGCACAATTTTATTCTGGTTTAGTTGTACTTTTCTTCCACAACTTACTTTCCACCTACTGGCTGAGGACCTGCTCCTACCACCCCAGGGTGGCTGTGGCACACCATGCCCTAGGGATTTAAGCCATTTCTAACTAACAGCCTGCAGCAGAGAAGAGGAAACAAGCCGGTGAAGGACAGAGTTTGAAGGAGGTAAAATGTTGAACTGCTAACCACATCTGTGAATTCAGAGTGAAAGTCCTCCTCAGGGCTGTAATGACTCAAACTTCACTCAGCACCCTGGGGAATCCCAGCAGAACCACATGAAAGAAGAGGAACCAAAGATGCCTCAGCCCTTCAGTTTCATCTGAGGCTGCTTTTTGCATCCATTCTGTAAGCCAGCCCCACCAGTTCTGTTCCCTGAAATACCTCTCTGACAGGAAGGCAGTGCAATGCTCAAGATGCAGGGCTCTAAAGAAGCTGATGGAGTCAGGGGAAAGCCAGACTAAAACACACACCACTTCTTTCCCAGTTTATCACAGGGCTTTGAGTTCTTTGTGCTTCTGCTTCCATGTCTGTACATGAGGGATTTCAAAAGTTGACAAGGATTATTCTTCTCTATAGAGCAATAAAGAGGGTTTAATTAACTCTGCGCTTTCGGGATCAGTTTAACCAGCATCAAGTCTTATTACATTTGTAAAAATTTGTTTAAGTAGGTTATTTAATCCCAACCACTTCCCTGATTCAGTCTGTGCAACACTTCCTCCAGCCCAAGCGTGCTGTCATGTCAGGAGCAAGTGTTCAGGAAAAAGGCAAAACCAGCTCTTCTCAAAGCCAGCATAGCCTAAACATATTGTAAAACTCCAGTGCTAGTTATGTTTAGTTGCACATGTTTGTTCGAATACTTTGTAACACGATTTTCCAGCCTGACTGTATATCTGGAATGTGGAAGAGAGCTCGAAGTTTCCGAGCCCACACTCTAGGAACTACGTTAACCATCAGCACCTTACCTAACTTCTTTCTCCAGCACACACAGCAGCAGAGGCAACCTGGACATGCACAGTCAGCCAGGAACTCGCATCAAAGAGACAAGCAAGGAGCTGTTGCTTACCTTCTGTTGAGACTGTGCAAAATAGACCTCTGCAAACTTCAACACCAGCACATAGTCACCCTCCTCTTTGATGGGAACTTCATAGCCAAAGGTTTCCTCATTGTAACGCTCGGTCTGGTACAGAATCTGATCTTCCGCATTGGACCGCAGAATGGGCAGCTTCATACCGTAGTCAGAAGCTGGGTTTCAACCACAAAATGGTGAGAGAAAGGATTAATTTCTGAGGCACGTGGAAGAGACGTTTTGCATACTCCTGAAGCACCTAACTCCTTAAGTGGCATCTTAGGCCCTCATCAGACCTGTCTCCCCTCCTTGCTCTGACCAGGAGGAGGCACTACTGGAGCAGGAGCAGAGGATGCCAAAGCCCCAGGATCCAGGTCCTGCAGAAAAACAGGTCTGGACCTGCTGCAGTCTAAGACACAGTAAAGTCACTTGCACCGTCTCAGAAAGAAGAGTCTGTTGCACAAACAGGGCACAGAGCCAAAGGACTTGGCCACTGACTCCTGCTTCAGAGAGCAAAAATGCCTGGAATATTTTAACAACATTTTCAAATTACAAACTCTGAGTACAAAAACAAAACAGTCGGTGTAGGACTGACTTGACTGATTCATTAAACAGATTTGAAGTTTGCAGTCGATGGCATCAGATTTTTGAGACTCACCCTCCTCAAGTGAAAACCTGGGAAACAGCAGAAGGGCGAGAAGCATGAGACATCTTACAAAACCCTTTCTTCTCACCACAGCTACGCAATATCTGCCAGTTTGAAGACAGGAAGAAGGAAGCAAGAAAGATACTCAAGGGTTTCAAGAGAACCAGCAGCTCCAGCAGCTGCTGTTCTCGCAGCCACCCAGCTGAAATGGGTGCTGTCTGCAGGCACCTGAACAGCCTCCTGAGAAGGGCCCAAACGACATTCCCAAACAGGACAATAACTGAGAAAATAACAGAAATCATAAAATTTGCCTCTTCTCAGCCATCATTTCACCACCTCTAAAGCAGCCCTCAAAGACCTTAACTTGGCTTGATGTTTTATTGTGTCAGAGTTACTGCAGAAATGCAAACTGATGTATGCCTCAAGAGCTCCGAATCAAACAGTTCCCCAGCGAAGCAGGGACAAGAAGGAAGACTGTGGACACCACTTGCCCACTGGCACTTCAAGCAGAAGTTGATCCAGACGAAGTTCTCTGCTGACACTAGCCACTTCCAGCCCCATTTCCATGGGAACAGACACTGCATTGGCCAAGACAAAGCAAGAACTACTAACCCAGTGCACGTTGCCAAAGATGGAGCCAACGTAAACGAGTGAGGGGAAGTTAGTGCCAGCTCTTAGTCTCCTGTTTCACACAGAGCTACTCAGTCAATCTTCTACTTCTCTTTACCTCTCGAACCTGGGCGCAAAGGCTGAAGACTAATCACCAGAAGTAGAGGGTGAAAAGTTTAACCTGTCCTCCCACACAGATATTTCTGGCCAGCTACAGATAACAGTGATAGCAAACCAAGGACTCCACAGAAGTCAGCTCCTATTAGAGGAAAGTGCACAGGAAGAAAGTCCTTTAATATGCAAGAAGGTATCGGGAGAGGAAGACCTGTCACCTGCGTATCAGAGGTCTGTTGACATAGCTGGGGAAGCCAGCTGAGAGGCAGGTCACCCAGAGACGAGCAGCACGCATTAAGCTGCCACTCAGCTACATTTGGCACCTGGCTATTCCGTAATTGCCATCAGCATGTTTTGTCCTTCAGGGCACAGCATCTGAACTGGGGCTTGGAAAAAAAAAAAAAGGTTTTAATTTGCCCAGAGGCAGTACAGCCAAGAAACACTATCCCTAGGTCGTTTCTTCCCAGTCAGCCACATATTTCTGCTGTAGCCATTACACGCCTAACACAGAGAGGAACCCGGAGTAAACTGAACAATGGTGCAATAAAAAGCCATTGAGGGAAAAGCAGCTGAGAGCTCAAAGGGGTAAAGTCTCCTCCACTGTGCCTGGCACCACTGGCTGAAGCAGGATTACTGTAACAGCCTGCTGTTCAGAGCAGAGACCACAGGCTTTCCCCAAAGGAAAAGCATGTCACAGTGTGCTTGAAAAAGACCTTTTTTTCCTCCTCAACTCAAAACCAAATTGTTCAAGTCCACAAGGACATTCTCCTTCAAGTCACACGTGAGAGGTCTGTGAAGGAAAACTGACCTAGTACGATCAGAGCATCTTGTGTGACGGGGTGAAAAACACCTAACAAACTGTATTAATATTTAAACACGACCTCCTCTGTATACATTGTGCCAAAACTGCTCTCCATTCAGGATGGCATTCATGCAGGGTGAGCAATGCCAGTCCTAGCTGTATGGCACAGGACAATCCTCACCATCCTGCATGGAAATAGTGAAGGTTAGACTGAGAAGTCAACAGATAGCTCATCTTCTCTGCACTCGACCACTCACCTGCTGTCACCTGACAGCAGAGGCAGCTCAGCACAGCTAACTTTCCAATACATTTGTGAATCAACTAAGTTTTGGTGCACCGATTATCAGAAGCAGGTAAAATTCATACATCCTAAGTGGTTTCAGGCGAAGTAGGAAAAAGCAACCCAAATGCAACTGGAATATTAGTTCTCCATCCTGTCCTTACCGGTAGAGAGAAGCTCAGCCCCAGCCAGCAACACCTTCCTCCTGCCCGGCCGCAGCACCGGGGATCCCTCTGATCCCCGTTGGGATGGGGCTGCCGGAGGCCGGCATCACCCCGCGCCCGAGCGCTTGAGCTGGGCAGAGCACGTTCTCGCTTTACCGAGAGCACCGCAGGCTGGGCTTCAAGCTGGCAGACCGCGCTGTGGAAACTGGGGTCTTTCAGTGGAAAATTGGAAAAGAGCAGCCAGGCGGCTGCATGCGGCCGGTTTGGCAGCCCGACC